GACAAACCATTCTCTGCGGTCGGGAAGGTCGGGAACGTGGTAATGCCTGTTGGCGGCGGGTAGGAATGCTTGCCTGCTGGTTTACGGGACATCTTGCTCTTTGTGTAACTTATTATTGAACCGTTGGATTGCCAATCTGTAAAGTGTGCTGGAAAGCTGGTAGTTCCATCTTTAAGGTTTCCAAAATTGAGCTGGATCAGACGGTGAGAAGGTCTTCATTTGGAAGTGAACTTCTGACGGTTGGACTCTGAGCTGGAATCTGGTCTTCTATACATTTTGTTAAGCTTACCTAAGTTTCCTGAAAAGAGTCTTGAAACTACAAATACTAGAAAAACATAATAAAAATACTTGAAAGCAATAAAAAACATAGAAAAGTATTTCAAAACAATCCATAAAAGTGGTCAAAATACGGTGTTATTACTAAGGTGAACCAGAATCAGGCGGCTAGACATGAGCATCAGGCTCATGTGAACCAGCAGAACCAGCACCAGCTAAGGAATCACCAGCCTCAAGTGCACAATCCGATTTTTGTTGAAGAGAATTACAGGGCTAATGCACATCAAAAAAGAGCAGGAATCCAAGTTCCACCAGTCCAAAACAACAATTTTGAATTCATGGCATCACTTCTCAATATGGTGCAAAACTCAAAATTCTATGGATTTCCTATGGAGGATCCACTTGATCACCTTGACCAATTTGACTGATTCTGTGATCTGACAAAGATTAAGGGGGTTTCAGAGGATAGCTTCAAGTTAAGATTGTTCCCTTTCAGCTTGGGAGACAAGGCTCATCAGTGGGAAAAGAATTTACCTAGGGGATCCATTCAAACATGGGAACAATGTTAGCTGGCTCTCCTCTCAAAGTTCGTTTCAACATCAAGAACAGCCAAGTTGAGGAATCCAATCTCAAGCTTTACCCAACACAGCAATGAGACCTTTGGGGAAGCATGGGAAAGATATAGGAGCTACATCAACCAGTGTCCTCATCATGGTTGTTCTGAGGCTTCATTACTCAGTACTCTATATAGAAGAGCTCTCCCAAAGATAAGAAACCAACTTGATACAGCTTCCAATGGAAATCAATGCAGCAATGGATTTGGTGGAAAACTTGGCTATGAGCAATGACACATATGGAGAGGACTATGATAGAGCTTATAGAGGAGAAGTATCTAGTGAAGAAGACTGGCTGAAACAAGATATAAAGGAGCTGAAGATCAAGATTGATAAAGTGTTAGTTGCAACTCAAAAGCCTATACACTTTGTGGGAGACTTTAGTGAGAAGAACTACTTTGAGAATGTCGATAAAGAGGGTCTAACACAAGAAGAGCTGCACTACATTGGCAACCAGAATAAGTTCCAAAAGTTTCACAACTTCAGCAACCAGAACTTGTCCTACAGAAACCCCAATGTCGCTAATCCTGGTGAATAAGTCTACTCCTCTCAACAAGCTCAGCAAGGATATGTTCCTAAGAACCAGTTCCAAGGAAACTTCCAAGGTCCACAAGCTTTTCAACAATAAGCGGTCCAGAACCAAAGGAATAACTTCTCAAACCAAGTCAGTTTCCAGTAACAAAAGTCTCCACCTCCAGGCTTTGGACAGCCACAGGTTCAGCAGGGTTTTATGCAGCAACAGGGTCCTGATATCAGTGTTGTTCTCCAGTAGATCTTACAGGGACAGCAAAAGCTGGCTTCTAAGTGTAATGATCTCAGTTCCAAGTTGGAGACAATCTGGGAAGGAACCTCCACTTCTGATTCTCAAAGCTCTCTGTCAGGCAAAGCTGTTCCAAACCCCAAGAAATATTGCAATGCCATATACTCAAGTGATGATCACACTGCTGTTATTCAGGAAATTGAATATCTTCTTTATGGTCAAGTCTCTGATGGGTTCAGCCCTAACACTGAGAATGAAGCCGCCATTATTGAAGACTATGAGAACCTGTTCTCTGTTCTCAATGAGGACATTGAGAAAGAAGGTGGAGAGGCAGCTTGTTTTCATCAGAGTTGGAATGATTTTGTTCAGAAATGGAGCAATTCTGTGTTTGTTGAAGCAAAAGGACAACAAGTTGATCAAGCAAAGCCCAAAGATAGAGTCTCTAGCCTTGATTCAACAATGGTGAAGCCTACATCCCTCCCAAAGCTAGGTAACCCTGGAAAATTCACTATGTCTTGCTCTCTTAGAGATTTCAAGATTGAGAATGCTTTGTGTGACACTAGATCAAGTGTTAGTGTGATGTCTCTAGACATGGTGGAGAGATTAGGGATCAAAACTCTCAAGCATAACCCCATTTCAATTTCCTTTGGAAATTCCCACTCAAACAAACCATATGGGCTCCTAGAAAACTATGCACTAATGGTTGGTGAATGCATAATCCCCACTGGCTTTGTAGTTATGAAGATGAAGAAAACCAAGGAGTTTCCTCTATTGCTTGAAAATCCATTCCTCAACACCAAAGGAGCAAGAATTGATTTTGATACTCAGAGAGTGGTGCTCACAAAAATAGTTATAGAAGCCTCTTACCCTGTTAAGCCCCCATTAGCTGATTTTTACAGCACTGTTGTTGAAGGAGTTGATGATTTCAAGGACTATGATAAGAAATATGTGGGAAACATTGCTATCTTAGGAAAAACTCAATCCCTTCCAACTTTGGAGAAGAAGAAAGAACCCCAAGTCAAACCTGACTTTAAGTATGCAGATGGGGAGACCTTTATCAGAAAAGAAGCTTGATTGATCTCCTTTTCCTCTAAACTAAGTGAGATAGAGCTGAGCACCAACAAGGGTAATGGTTCAAGATCAAGAGAAAATAGCCCTATACCTGAATCTTCCTCTCAAGGCTTAACTCTCATCCCTTGGTAATGTGATGATGAAGCTATAAAGTACAAGCTGCAATGCAATGGAGGATCAAAACCATTTGCTGAAGTTAGGGTACTACTCACAAAAGCAATCGTAGACAAGGGGCCTGATGGTATTCAAGAGCTGATGAAGAAAGGTCTCATGTTTGAATTCAAAGACAAGGGACCTGATGGTGCTAAAGAGCTGATGGGTACAGCTTTCATGCTTGATTTCATGGACAAGATAAGTTGTGCCAATGCTCATCCTCTCCCTCATTAAGAAAAGGTTCTGAAAAGTCAAACTTAGTGACTTAAAACAAAGTGCTCTTGGGAGACACCCCAAGCTTATCCTTGTACATAAATCCTTTTAATCTTTTCTTTAGTGTTTTTGGAATGTTTTGATGGTTTTGTTAAGTGACCACAGGTTCTAGGAAGTGTTCTTGCTTAATGGCTTGAAGGAACAGCTGCAAAAAGGAGTTTAAAGAAGGCGTCCTTGTGATTTAAAGAAGCATTGGCCATGGCCTTGGCTTAGACACCTTGATATGGCCATGCCGAGGTGTGTCCACCGAATGAAAAAACCAAGGCCTCAAGGTAACTCTTCATGATGGTCTATACGGAGGTCGTGATATATTTGTTCCAGAGTATAAGTGTGGAATCAGGCCTCGGAGTAAATCTTGTGGTATAGCCTATGCCGAGGTACCTTGATGTGCTTTACCGAGTGAAAAGCTCAAGGCCTTGGGCAACCACCTCGTCTTAGCTCATACCGAGGCCATGAGTTGATCCTTCCAGAGGCTAAGTACAAAAGCGACCTACAGAGGAAACGTAAACCGAGATGGATTCCGATCTGAAATGCATGATCTTATTCTGGCATGAGAGCGAGAGTTAATTGCCATGCATTTAGGGTGACAAGAGTTGGCTAATCTTACAACTTTATATCCTAGTTTGAGAGTCATAGAAAATCCTTGCCTAAATTCCTTGTGTTTTAGAACATGAACCCTAAAGATGAACCCTGATCCCAGCGCCGTTTTTCATATAGTTTTCAACCGATTTTTATTTTAAGCTTTTTAATTCTCTGCTAAATTTGATTTAGTGATAAATCAAAACCCTTTTTATTCAGATTAGGTCCACAATTGCTTTTAGCATCAGTTAGAAGCTTTCAATGCACAAATCCCTGTGGATTCGATACCTAAGTACTACTGCGTTTGCTGTGAACTTGCAGCTTGTCTAGGGTAAAACTTGAGATGCCCACATCAAGTTTTTGGTGCTCTTGCCGGGGATTTATCGTTGTTGACTTGATTTCTTAATCTAATTTTAATCCTAGACCTCAAGATTTTTTGAGTTCTGCTGGAGATTTTCTAACTTCTCTTTTATTTCTACTTTCTTTGCTCTCAGGTGCATGAAAACTAGGAGAGATCCTGCCAACATTGTACCGCCCTAAGACGAGATTGACAAACACGAAAGAGAACTTTGGAAACACAGACAAAGGACGCTCAAGATGGCCAATCCGAATGCCCATCAGGAAGATTTTTTTTAAAACATGATCAAGATGATCACATTGGAGACGATGACCATGATTTTGTTCACGATGATGACCGAGATGCTGCCCATGAAGGAGATGGCCAGCCACAACTCAATGAAAAGGGAAATCAAATCCCTAGAAATGCTGCTCAAGCCGCTGATGATCAAAGGAGACGAGATCGGAACGATCAAGGAGAAATAAGGAATGATGAAAACATTATTCCACCTAATGGTAGAGAGGCCAATCGACCCATACAACTTGCCAATCCTGCGAGAAGATAGCCCCGCAATAGACTTATTGCCGATTTCGATCCACCCTACCAACACTTTCAGAATAGATCAGCTATTCAAGTTCCTGCCCCAACATGAGGAGATCACGAGATAAAACCTCAGATTTTCTCTCTGGTGAAGCAAAATCAATTCCATGGAATCTCTACTGAGCATCCAAATGACCACATCTTTTTGAAGAAATATGTGGAATGGTGAGAACCACTCCAGACACTGTGGACTATGTGAAGTGTAAGCTTTTCCCTTTCTCTCTAAGTGATAAAGCTTTAAGATGGTTAAAATCTATGCCATATGGTTCTATTACTTCATGGGAAGAATGCAAGTCAGCTTTCCTGAACCACTTCTACACCAAGTCAAGATCAAACCAGCTGAGAATCAAGATACAAAGTTTATAACAAGACCCAATATAATCATTCTATGAAGCTTGGGAGCGATTTAAGGAGTATGAGAGAGACTGCCCTAATCATGGTTTCTCTGGACTAAACCTGCTAAGCACCTTCTACAGAGGACTTCAGCAGACGTATCAACTTTCTCTTTCACTGCCAGCAATGGAGATTTCAGTTCGAAAACTATACCACAAGTTAGAGCACTCATCCAAAATTTGGCTGTAGCTAACAGCAACAACAACCCTGAGTATGACAGATCAAAGAAGACCATCATTAGTCATGAGTCAAGGGAGATTGCTGAGCTAAAAAGCATGGTAAGTCAACTTCTTAAAACTCAAAATAAGGATATACATGCTTGTGATACTGCTGCAGGAAATGAAGAAGATGGAAGATATGAAGATGATGGCATATATCAAGAAGAAGAAATCAATTTCAAGGGAGATCAAGCATACCAGAACCGATTTAGTCCCGCTTTCAACCATAATTTCAGGAATTCCAACTTCAACAATCTCTCATACAGGAGCCAGGGAACGGAGAACCCCCAGAACCTGCCTTATCCGCAGCAGCCGAGGAATTTTCCAAACAAGTTCCAAAATGGGAACTATGGAGGAGGAAATTTCCAACAAAGACCACATTTCAACACTCAACAAGCATATACCAGCTCATTAGAAGCAACACTTTCCCAGCTAAGCAACCAGGTAAAATCGCTTGAACAAAGTGTGATGCAGACATCTCAAGGCAATGAGAAGTCGATCAGGGAAATGGGAGTGAGGATCGATTGTATGTACATTGACTTGAATGGGAAGTTTGAATCTCTTGCAATCTATGTCAAGAAGTTGGAACTACAGATAGGTCAGACTGCAGGTTCAATGAAGAGGCAACCAGGAGTCTTGCCAGGAAGAGTGGAAGATAATCCAAAAAAGTTCTGCAATGCCATGACAGCAGTTTTGGAAGAAGAACCAGTCGCAGACTCTAAGGAAAAGTCGACACTGGAACCCCTCATGAAGGACACTAGAACCGAGCATGAGAGAAGCCATATCATCCCGGTTAAGGATACAAAATGCTTGCCTGACCAATGACCAAGGATCCAGGGCGTTTTTCTTTCACTTGCTCTATTTCTGGAATTGAATTTTCAGATTGCTTATGTGATTCTTGTGCTAATGTGATGTTATGTCAAAATCTGTTGCTGAGAGACTTGGTATAGGAACATTTGTCCCATCTCCAGTAAGGATAATCTTTGGTGATTCATGTTAAAAGAGGACAGAAGAAATGATCCTGGACTTACCACTGGTCATTGGAAACAAAATCATCCCAGCCGATTTCCAAGTTTTAGAGATGGACCAAGACAAAGAATGACCTCTGATATTTGGTCGCCCATTCTTAGCAATTGTAGGTGCTTTCATTGACCATGCAAATGGCTGTTTAGTTTTCTTAAATGTGGACAGGAAAAAGTTCTATAAGACCATACTGGATCCAGCTCCAAACCACAAGGACAAGAGCAAAGAGAAGATATTGGAAAACAAAAAGGAACTAAAGTACTTGCATCCAAGCAATTCGCAAAGGTCAATATAGTGGTGCCACCAGACATCAGAAAGGAGATGGAGGAAACCTTGAAGAAATTGTTGAGAAGACAAAACATTTTTTCAAAGATGCAAAAATCTTTAAGAAAGGAAAGGAGATTGTGATTCAAGATGAAGGAGATCGAAAGTTTAGGCTAAGGAGGATTCCTCAAGAGATCCTGCCTCTTCTTCCCAATCTTAATCCTACCAAAAGTCTAGCTAAAAGACTCTAAACAAAAGAGCTTAATGGGAGCCAACCCATTTGTTATGATTTTCTTTTCTTTTTATTTCTTTTCCATTTGATCTTTTCTTTTTATGCATTTTAGGCTTTCATAAAACCCAAAAAAAAAAAACCAAAAACATTCAAAAAACCAGAAAAATACAAAAAGATAGGAGGAAGAAACCAGAAACCGTAAAGAATCAGGTGAAGCCGGAGCCACTTTGTCGGGGCTGCAATCATCTCAGCCGCGGCCAGGCCTTCATTTGCCGCAGCCCACAAACTTCACCCGTGCATCCCTCACCCGCAGCCAGCCCCTGTTCTGCTTCCCGACTTGATTTCCCGATTTCCCGCGAACCGGAACTTCAAAATCCCGATCTATTCCAGGATTAAAGCGGAAAGTTTCCAAAACATTATTTCCGTCTTAAACACACCAAGGTAAGTCCTAAAAAGCTTTTAAAATAAATTTTTCATAAGAAAAAGACATTTTTAAAAGAAAAAGAGGATTTCAAAGATCAAAAGGCTCTTTTTCATCATCTTCTCCAACATGTTTGGAGATTGTGAGAAAAAGACCAGATTTCAAACTTGACAAATCTCTTTCAAATTTTCAAACCTGTCTTACTCGTTTTTAAAGAAGATTCCAAATCTATCATCACATTATACTTTAATCAAGGTATGGATCCAAATTTCTCAGTTTCTCTTATGAACTCAAATTTAGAGTTTTTTTAGAATAAGTAGAATTCACCTTAGGATGATTGGAGATTGTCTTTGAACTCAAGACTACACTTCTGGGTATTTTGATTGCAGGATTTAACACCTAGACCATATAGATTTGAAATTTTCGAAAATTTGAGATTTAAAAACTTGAGAAAATCAAAATTTGAAGAACAGTTTGATTGAGCTTAGCAAATCTGGTTTGTTTGGTCATTGTTGATAGATAATATGATTAGATTGCATTTGAATGAGCATGAACATCATCTTGATTTAGAAATCTCATGTGTTGAACATCACTATATCGCATTTGACCAGGAACTCACAAATTTTGCAATGTTTGATGCAATTACAGTTTGTTTGTCATGTGAATGTGTTTGTGATAGCTGTATGAACATCTTGCTCATATAAATCGATTCAAAAGCAGTTTCAGTTATTCTCTATCTGGATAATTTTGTTTTGCAGGCCATGAATCTCTCTCAGGTATGACTCATTCGAACCAAGAAGAGCCCTCATGCAAAGAAGCCCAACTCGCAGGAGACATATGATGCTTTGAAGCTGTCATATTGGAAGTCATCTCTACTCTCTTACCATTTTAGAGATGTGTGATGATTTGAAGCTGCCATATTGTGATGAGATTGCCTTGGAGAAAGATCCAGATGAGGATCTATGGAAATTGATTGGTTATGGAGTTTATGACAAAGGAAGGTCCAAAGCATCACTTCTCTCTCACCCTGTTGTTCAATATGTGCACAAGTTGCTAGCACACACTGGGTTTTTTAGAGCCAACCAGGCGAATGTCCTCAAGCCCGAGCTGGTGACACTTCATCTACCTTTCACAGACCACCCAACGTTCCCTTGCTTTGCTTCCATCATTGCAAGGAACCTAGTGAAGGTTAAGCATGAGATGCTTACCTCTGAGTGTCAGGACTACTCACCAGCCTTTGGAAGCATCATTACTTCGCTTATGGTAGCAGCAAGAGTTGGGTTTTCAGCCGAGACACCTCTTACAGAAGATTGGTTCGATCTCTCTCAGTTCTCCAGAGGTCGGACTATTACTTGGGCCAAGATGGACCCCATTGTATTTGCTTACAAGTTCTGCACTAATACTACCGAGTACAGAGTTCTCCTACCTTCAGATTCAGTGCCCCGAATCCGAGATAGAGCAGACCCAGGATGCATTTTTAAAGGTTTTAATCAGTTTTAGAAACTTGTATTATGATTTCTATGTATTTGTAGTTTCAAGGTTCTTTTTAGGAAACTTAGGGAAAATGATGGCAAAATGGAAGAAATCCACTTTTTCAGCTTAGAGTCAGACGGTCAGAGGTTCAGCCTCAAATGAAGACGTTATCACCATCCGATCCAGATCAAATTTGTAAACAATTAAGAGGAGAAAACCAGCTTTCCATAACACTTTACATCACAAAAATCCAACGGTGCAATCAAAAGATACATGGAGAACAAGTTGATCCAATCACCGGCCCCGAAAGACTCTCACCCGCGGGAAAGTGGCAGTTTACCTGTCCTGGAAGACTTTCACCCCCGGTGGACCTAAGGACGTGCCACAAGGCCCAACATCAAATCCCACTTTGCTATTCCTCTTCAGAGAAGCCCTAAATGAGAAATGGAAGACCTTAGGACCTATAAATACATTTCTTAGCAGCCTTAAACGGGTGTGTGCTCCTATAATGGGATTTTGAGCCACCAAACTTTGTTTTTCTAGGGTTAGGTTATGGAGATGGGGATTCTTCCCCAGATCCATTGTTCTTTCTCCGTTCTATCTTATTAACTATTATGTTTCATCTTTTGCATACTTTCATGTCTTTTATCATTCCTTGCATCATGTAGATTTGTCCCAGAGAGTCAAGTTGTTTGAAGAAGTTTTCGATAGGTACAAATATCAATTAGGATTTCTAAGTTCTAGACCATATTCTGGATCTCATCTCTTATAAGTTGTTCATACTGCATGAGAATAGATTCATGACATATTCTCTGAGCCTAGGATCGATCAGAGCCACGAGAGTGCTGTATCAGATCATCCATACCTAGCTTTAGAAGAACATAGTCGCTATAGGAGTCGAGAGCTACCTATAGAGAACATGTGAGCAGAGGAATTCAATGTCTAATGCATGATCTTATTTCTGGCATGAGAGCGAGAGTTAATTGTCAGATCTGAGTGATTAGTTGATTAAGATGGAGAACAAGTTGACCCAATTCACCGGTCCCGGAAGACTCTCACCCGCAGGAAAGTGGCGAGAGTTGGTTAATCATACACATGTCTATTCTAGTTCCATGCAGATCCCAGAAACAGATGAAGATAAATCTTCCGGAAGCTAATTGGAAATGCCACCAAACATCGATTAGAGTAAACCGTAGAAGTCTAAATCGCCACCTATGAGTTTAGATATATAGTTTGAGTCGATATGCTTGAGATATTCTTTTAACAATTCATATGCATTGCATCTTATTTCTTGTGAATATTAGATTAGGTTTAGTTTAGCAATTCATATGCATTGCATCAAAAAAAAAACCAAAATCCCATGAGTTTATGACTTTGATTACTTTTCTAGTTTGTTGTTTCTCGCAGATTAGACATCCT